CTGAGTCCAGAGACTCCTGAGCTATCTCCTTGAGAACTCTGGGCTGTAGTCCATCTGGTCGAGGTGATTTATCTGTCTCCAGCTTCCCAGCACCGTCTCCTTAGTGACTGCCACTACACTCACCTCTGCCTCTGACTCTCATGAACTTCTGCTATGTTCCTGGTGCATTCCACTGTGAAAACTGATGCAAAGTACCTATTCAGTTCCTCCACCATTTATTTGTTCCCCATTCTACTTCTCCAGTCTCATTTTTCAGTGGTCCAATGTCTACTCTTGCCTGTCTCTTACATTTTAGATATCTAAAAAAACTTTTGCAACCTTCTTTTATATTAATAACTAGCTTACTCTCAAATTTTATCTTCTCCCCCATTATTGCTTCTTCAGTTATCCTCTGCTGGTTTTTAAAGGCTTCCCAATCCTCTCAATTCCATTAGTCTTCACCATATTGTTTGCTTACTGTTTTACTTTTATACTAAACCTGGCTTGTCAGTCATGGTTGCCTCATCCTCTCCTTGATATGTTTCTCCTTCCTTGGGACAAATTTATGCTGTGCCTCCCAAATTAACTCAGGAATTCCTGCCATTGCTGCTCCACAGTCTTCCCTTCCAATCAACACAGGCCAACTCCTCCCTCATGTTTTTGTAGTCACTCTACTCAATTGTAATACTGTTATATCGGATTCAATTTTCTCTCTCTCAAACTGCAGGGTCAAATCTATCATATCATAGTCACTGTCCCCTAGGGGTTCCTTCACCTTCAGCTCCCTAATCAAGTCTGCCTCATCAAATCCAGAATTGTCTGTTCCCTAGTGGGGTCTACCACAAGCTGCTCAAAAACACCATCTCAATAGACATTCCACAAATTCCTTTTCTTGAGATTCAATACCAACCTGATTTTCCCAGTCCACCTGCATATTGAAGACCCCATGATTATTATAACAGTGCCTTTCTTACATGCCTTTCTATCCCCTGATTTATTTTCTTCCCCACTCCTGACTACTGCTAGGAGGCCTGTACACAACTCCCATCTGGGTCTTTTTTCCTTTGTAGTTCCTCAACTCTACCCACACAGATTTTACACCTTCCAACTCTGTATCACTTCTAGCTATCAATTTAATTTCATTTCTTACTAACAATCCAAGATGGTCCCCTTTGTCCATCTTCCTGTCCTTTCAATACGGCGTGTATCCTTGGATATTTAGTTTCCAGCCCTGGTCCCCATGCAGCCACGTTTCTGTGATATTCACAACATCGTTCCGTTCCGAGGAAGGGTCACCAGACCTGAAACATTAACTCTGATTTCTCTTCACAGATGCTGCCAGACCTGCTGAGCTTTTCCAACAACTTCTGTTTTTGTTATCGTTCCTGCCAATTTCAATCTGCGCTACAAGCTCATTTATCTTGCTTCATATTCATTCACACAAAAGACAGATAGAAAAATGAACGCTGTTAAGGGACAAATAAAAGAAAATAACAAAATTGGCCAAATTGTTTAAATGATCTTCAAGATGCATTGTTACACAGGCATAGGTTATTGTTGATCGGTTGATTTTCTGAAGATGTCGATCAGGTTCAGTTTTATAGTTTACTCATATAAAGTGGGTTCTTATTCTTAAAACTTAGTTTCCTATGCTCAGAACATCCAAGAGCTAATAAGGGATGTTAAACAGGGAGCTTTCAAATCTTCATGGTGTAGCACCAACAGCGAGATTCCCTCTCACAGAAACCACCATCAAACTCTGAACATTCCCTAACAAACTGACCATTTCCTTCATGAGCCCCCAGTTACCATTCAACATCTGCTATCTGCTTTGTCATGAGGTCTTTTCCAGCCTTGCTGGAACCAATTCCGAGGCACTGACCTCTCAAATAAACCTTGTTTGGTCTGTTTTCCTTTTAACACAAGCTGTAAACCACAATCCAAAGGTCATCTTTAGTTTAGTTTCCAGTTCACAGCTCCAAGCCAAATTTAAAAGAAGAACAAAATAAAAAATAATGTAAAATTAGCGAGAGCCCGAACCATACTTGTAATGTTTCCTTCTAGAAATAAAAGTTTGATAGAGTAAAGATTGATTCTAGTTCTATTCTTCACCAAATGGCTTTGAGATATAACATTTTTTCCCTTTGGGATATTGATTTTGCCCAACAGTAGTCAAAATAGCAGATTCCTCCACCTCAAGAAATGTCTGGACAATCACTCAGAATCCCTACAGTGCGGAAGCAGGCCATTCGGCCCATTTGATCCATTCCGACCTTCCAAAAAGCATCCCACCGAGACCGCAGCATCCCACCTCGACCACACCCCCCGCCCCGACTCCTGCATTTCCCACACCTAATCCACCTAGCCTGCACATCCCTGGACAGTATGGGCAATTTATCGTGGCCAATCCACCCTAACCGGCACATCTTTGGACTGTGGGAGTAAACTGAGCCGCCTGGAGGAAACCCACACAGATACGGGGAGAATGTGCAAACTCTACATGGATCGTAGCCCAAGGCTGGTATCACACCTGGGGCCCTGGTGCTGTGAGGCAGCAGTGCTGTTCACTGAGCCATAGTGCCACAGGAACATGGATGTGGCTAATCATATTTTCCTCTTAAAAAGAAATGCTCAAACCTCTCAAGGATTTAGTCTAGAGAGTACTAATTATTCATGTCACTTCAATTTACCAAATAAGCCTCATATATTCCTCAAAGTCTCACCTCTACTTTATTTGAAGTATCACACCAGATTTGCAATTGTATGGTTAAAAAAAAAGTCAATGGAATGAAGATCAGCCAGCTATAGTTAATTAACGGTGTGCAATCTGATCTCTGAAATTATCATATAGGCAACAAAGACAAAATCTATTCTCTCCTCACATAGAAGCCATCGTTAATCCACATGGGGCATCTTCCAACCCAAAGCAGTTTAGGAGCTTTAAATTGCAGCCTTTCAAAACAAGCTGTGATCTGCAGTTATATTTTTTAAAAAAAGTTAATTATTTGCATGTGTAATGTGAGTTTGCAGAAACAAAATGCATCAGTATGAAGGGAACAAATAAAGGCTGCAGATAAAAACAAATAAAAGCAAAATAATTTCTATATTATTACAATAAATATAATTTATGAAGGATGTAGAAAATACTCATTATTGAGGTAAAATATAATCATAGTATTTTAATTAGATACTATTTTAGTATACATGGTAAGGCAGCAAAATAGGCTGATGATAAAAGACATTTCTCTGATAAGTCTGAGTAATGCATAGCACCTAGAAACTGAAAAAACACCCAGCAGGGTGAAAAGGATACCATATTGACCCACATTTTGCAGTCGTAATAGCAGTGAGGGTGTCAACATTCACCACCATTACTGCACTGAGGCAGAGTGCAACCTTGTGTGTTCATATACACACAGTTGAATGCGGACACCCAATAAATGATCCTATGGTACTCCATAGAGTGCGTTGCTGAGGGTGTCTTAGCAAACATTTTTCTCCAAATAATTACTGGATAAACTGTAACACTTGCTTTTGGTCCCTGCTCCAAACTCTGTTCCCTCATACTGACTCTGTCCTTTATCTTGGCAACAGTTTGAGATTATACGTACTGTTTACAATCTTTGTGATACATTTGACACTGAGATAAGATTTCAACCTTTCATTTGCACCATCACTAAGACCTCTGTAACATTACTTGACTTTGTCTTATCTCAGCACATCTGTTATTGAAACTTTTATTCACAGCTTCATTATGTCTAGAGGCGAATGCTCCAATGCATTCCTGGCTGGTCATCCCCATTCTACCCTCCGTAACCTTGGGGCTGTCCAAATCTCAGCTGCGACTGTCATAACTAGCGCCAAGAATCATTCACCCTTTCCTCACTGATCAACACTGACCCAGCCAATCGACACCTTGGGTTTTAATTTCCCATAGAGTCATAGAGATATACAGAAACTGACCCCTCCATCCAACTCATACATGCCGACCAGATATCCTATATAGATCTAGTCCTATTTACCAGCATTTGGCCATATCCCTCTAAACCCTTCCTATTCATATGCCCATCCAGATGCCTTTTAAATGTTGTAATTGTACCAGCCTTCACCACTTCCTCTGGCAGCTCACTGGTTCCACGTGCCACCCTGAGTGAAAAAGTTGCCCCTTAGGTCCCTTTTATATCTTTCCCCTCTCACCTTAAATCTATGCCCCTCTAGTTTTGGACTCCCATAACCTGGGACTGCCCTACCCTTGACTATTCACCCTATCCATGCCCCTCATGATTTTATAAACCTTGATAAAGTCATCACTAAACCTCCGACGCTCCAGGGAAAATAGCCCCAGACCATTCAGCCTCTCCCAATAGCTCAAGCCCTCCAACCCTGGCAACATCTTTGTAAATCTGTTCTGAACCCTTTCTAGTTTCACAACATCCTTCCTATAGGAGGGAGACCAGAGTTGCATGCAATACTCTAAAAGTAGCCAAACCAATATCCTGTTCAGCTGCAACATGACCTCCCAACTCCTATACTCAGTGCACTGACAATAAAGACAAGCATAATAAATGCCTTCTTCACTATCCTGTCTACCTGCAACTCCACTTTCAAGGAGCTTTGAACCTGCACTCCAAGATCTCTTGGTTCAGCAACACTCCGTAGGATCTTACCATTAACTGCATAGGTCCTGCCCTGATTTGCCTTTCCAAAATACAACGCCTCACAGTTATCTAAATTAATCTGCATCTGCCACTCCTCGGCCCATTGGCCTATCTGATCAAGATCCTGTTGTACTGCACTCTGTGGTAACCTTCTTTGCTGTCTACTACACCTCCAATTTTAGTGTCATCTGCAACCTTACTAACCGTACCTCCTATGTTCAGATCCAGATCATTTATAAAAATGATGAAAACAGTGCACCCAGCACCGATCCTTGTGGAGCACTGCTGGTCACAGGCCTCCAGTCTGAAAACCAACCCTCCACCACCACCTTCTGTCTTCTACTTTTGAGCCTGTTCTGTATCCAAATTGCTAGTTCTCCCTGTATTCTGTGTGATCTAACCTTCCCCTAACCAGTCTACCAAGAGGAACCTTGTCAAATGCCTTAATGAAGTCCATATAGATCACATCCACTGCTCTGCCCTCTTCAATCCTCTGTTACTTCTTCAAAAAACTCAATCAAGTTAGCGAGACACAATTTCCCACGCACAAAGTCATGTTGACTATTCCTAATCAGTCCTTGCCTTTGCAAATACATGTAAATCCTGTCCCTCAGGATTCCCTGCAACTTGCCCACCACCGATGTCAGGCTCAGTGGTTTATAGTTCCCTGCCTTTTCTTTACCACCTTTGTTAAGTAGTGGCACCACGTTAGCCGACCTCCAGTCTTCTGACACCTCACCTGTGGCTATCAGTGATACAAATATCTCAACAAGGGGCGCAGCAATGACTTGCCTTGCTTCCCACAAGAGTTCCAGGGTACACCTGATCAGGTCCCAGGGATTTATCCATCTTTATGCGCTTTAAGGCTTCAGCGGCTCCTCCGCAGTTATATGGACATTTTTTTAAGATGTCACTGTTAATTTCCCCACATTCACTATCTTTCATATCCTCCTCCACAGTAAATACTGATGCAAAATATTCATTTAGTATCTTCCCATCTCCTACGGTTCCACACATAGGCGACCCTTCTGATCTTTAAGGGGCCTTATTCCCTCCCTAGTTACCCTTTTGTCCTTAATATATTTGTGGAATCCCTTTGGATTCTCCTTAACCCTATTTACCAAAGCTATTTCATGTCCCCATTTGTGCCCCCCACCCCCACCAATTTCCCTTTTAAGTATACTCCTACAGCCCTTGAACTCTTCTAGGGATTCACTCGATCCGTGCTGACTATACCTGATGTATGCTTGCTATTTTTTCTTGACCAAAACCTCAATTTCTCTGGGCATCCCATATTCCCTACACCTACCAGCCTTGCCCTTCGCCCTAATAGGAACACACTGTCTCTGGTATCTCATTTTTGAAGGCTTCCCATTTTCCAGCCATATTTTTACCTGCAAACATCCACCCGCAATCAACTTTTGAAAGTTCTTGCCTAATACTGTCAAAATTGGCCTTCCTCCAATTTAGAACTTTAACTTTTAGATCTGATCTATTCTTTTCCGTTGCTGTTTTAAAACTAATAGAATTATTGACACTGGCCCCAAAGTGCTCCCGTACTGACACCTCAGTCAGCTGCCCTGCCTAATTTCCCAAGAGCAGGTCAAGTTTTAGACCTACTCCAGTAGTTACATCACTGAAACACAAAATTTTCTCCTGCACACTTAAATTCTTCCCCATTCAAGCCCTTAAGACTATGGCAGTCCCAGTCTATATTTGAAAAATTAAAATCTCCTACCATAAACATCCTGTACTTCCCACAGATAACTGAGATCTCTTTATAAATTTGTTTCTCAATTTCCCACTGACTACTGGGGGATCTATAGTACAATCCCAATAAGGTGGTCATCCCTTTTTTATTTCTCAGTTCCACCAAGTAACTTCCCCGGACCTATTCCCAGGAATATCCACACTAACTACAGCAGTATGGCTATCCTTAATCAAAAATGCCAATCCCCCTCCTCTCTTGCTCCCTTTTTATCCTTCCTATAGCATCTATAACCTGGCACATTAAGCTGCCAATCCTGTCTATCCCTGAGCATCTCTGTAATTGCAATGATATCCCAACCATGCCCTGAGTTCACCTGCCTTGACTGTTAGGTATCTTGCACTGAAATAAATACAGTTTAATTCATTAATCCTTCCTTGTTCTCTGCATTGTTCCTGCCAGCCCTAACCGCTTGACTTACTCCTTTTCACAACTGTATCAATCTTGACTGCTCTCTTTCCTCACTATCTCCCTGGGTCCCACCAAACCAACCCCTACCCCACCCCACTCTACCCCACCACAAACCCCCCAACTCCCACCCCAGCCCCCTATCCCCACCCCCACCCCCACCCCCACCCCGACCCCATTTAAACTTTCCGACCTTCCACTTGTGAGAAGTCTTTAATGTGATTGGCTGTCTGCCCTGTTCACTCAGGTCATTGTTGTTGGGCACCTGGAAATGCCCTTAAGTTAGTGCCTGATTTAAACTGCCATAAGCAAAGGCGAAAATCACATCACAGAGATCACTAGATCCTTGTGGTCAACTTTCTTCAAGGACAGAAATCATGCGATACCAGCTAGTGCCATTGCTTCGGCCTCGATCACAAAATTCAGCATATAAGTAAACTGTACATAATTTGCAAACAAATGTATGTTAGTCAGAAAATACACCAACTCCCATACTTCCAACAGTACAGCCTTGTAAAACATTTCATCAGAGATACAATAATACTATATATCTATTATACTTTTAATTTGCTAATGTAATATATTATATCACTAGCTAGTCACCAAAGGCATTGCCTACAGTACAAAAACAGAAATTGCTAGAAAATCTCAGCAGGTCTGGCAACATTGTGGAGAGAAATCAGAGCTAATGTTACAGGTCCAGTGACCCTTCCTTAGAACATAATACATTACTGGACCCGAAACCTTAATTCTGATTTCTCTCCACAGATGTTGGCTGACCTGCTGAGTTTTTCCAGCAATTTCTGTTCTGATTTCGAGCAACTGCAGTTCTTTTGGTTTTTATTTAGTAAATATAAGAGTGTGGTCACTTTTCATCTCTCACAGTCTCTTCATTATTCTGAGTTGTTTCTTTTTCTCTACTTCTCTCTCTCTCTCTCTTCCATTCCTCGCTGCTACTGCTTTGCAATCTTGTCTTGCTTCTCTCACCATCCCCTTTTATGTCTCTCTTTTCCAACTGTTAGATGGGAGGTGGTGGTAGGTTGTGTGTCAGAGAGCGGA